TTTTCTCACGTCTTTGCACCTTAGAGAGTAAAGAAGTAATGAGACGCTTTAAGTAGACCGTAGGGTTTTTATAGTCCAATATCATTTTACTTTCCTCAAATGGAGGCAAATTTCAATATATTGTTCTTTGAAATTAATTCTGTAGCGAAATTCATCTAAAACTTTAATAGTTATAAATGTAATATAATTTTTATTCAGTGGGAAGTAAATAACGTTCTGAGGTATTTCTATGTATTGATTATCTGCAGCAGTTTTAGATACAAATTCGTGAATAATATGAGTACGTAACTCGTTGCAATATGAGCCGTATATGAAATCACATTCGATTCTGATCACAGATGCTATCAACTTGCTATCAACATAAGAATATTTTGATGTTGAGTTTATTACTGAAAAATATAGTAAACCGCATTCGTATTGACCTGATAAACTCAGAGGCGGTTGAAAGTAGGAATCCAATTCTGATTTATTTCCTGAGATGGTAACTGTTATAGACATGCTTGTATACTGAGCAATTTATGCAGCTCTTGTTTATTTTATGTCTTGATTGCGCCAAAATTTCTCCAAAAAAATCATACAAAGATGTCCACAATTAAAAGGGTGATCACGCTGTATGTTATCATAATTATAGTGGACTTTAGGACCTAAATATTTTATCAATTCCATTGGAGGTTTAAGATTTTCATAACTGTCGAAATATTCAACATAATTATTAAATTTTACATAGGCTACCCAATGAGATCCCGGCTTTAAGGAAATATCTAAATTTATAACTCCACATTCTTTTTTAAAAGGGTGTGTTGGGAGTTCATCTCTCATAAAGATACCTCGAAAATAGGGAATATTATTTCTATACTTTAGAATGTCAATGTTAGTTAAGGCGCGTTTGGGTAGCTTATATTCTAGTTTTTTTCCTTTAGATACAAAAATGGCCAAATCAATTTTTATGAGGTTTAAACTGTAACCCATTTCCAATACAAAGAGCTTCCATTTTTTCATTGTGTCTCTTCAATTCAGCAAATTGTTTTTTAGCCATTTTGATTTCATTTATAGTTTTAAGTGTACCAGCTGCACCACCAGCTAAGGCTCCTGTAGCCGATAATCCAGCAACAATCGGAATCAAAGATAATAAATACCCCACAACAAAATAAATACGATAAAGATCCATGACCTGAGTACAAATATTTATCTGTGAAATAAATATCTGCAGCGACCGGGACTCGAACCCCACAACCCTCAGCTAGGCAATTTGGGTCACTGACCAATGGGACAGTTGTATTCATAAATTTAAATTTAACTTACCTCTAAATCAAATGCAAACGAAGACTTTTCTTTTTTATAGGCTCAGCTTCCGATTCGCTATTTGAATCCAGAACGACTTTCCATTTTTTTTGTCATCTATAGCGTTAAATGCACCCCCTCGTTTTTAGGGAAAGAACATTCGTGTTTTAGTGTTTTTTTTTCGTGTTACTTAATAATATGCTTAATTGAAATACAATATGGAATATTCCAACTATGATTAGCGATAAAAATATAAGATTATCGTTCTAGCATACGTCTAAAATATCAATTTATGTCAATAACTGTTTAAACGTTGGTATGTTTTTACTTTACGTAAACATTTATCAATGCTAGAAGGATATAGAAATCAAAACTCGGTGCCTCTCTTTCTAAGAAAAATGGGGAACGGTTACAATGTTCCAAGCGCTCACTCCCTATATTATAGTATAACCTCCTTGCTTGAATCAGAGTAATTACTAGCATAGAATCATAAAATAAGAACAAAATTCTTATAGCTGAACTCTCCATACATATGACGTTTAAGATGGTACAAAATAAAATAGCTATATTGTTCTCACCTTCTTTCTTTTACAATGTTATGGCCATTTTTTCCACGGAATATAAAAAACAAGTTGTTATATATTCCGTGATTTTTTTCCATTCCATAGACACCTCTATTGATGTGCCATTAGCGAAACAAAATACGTTGTCGATAAATTAATTTAGTCTATGACTTAGTAAAATTAGGGATTTTTATTAGTACGGTTCGTAATACTTATTTTTATGTTTATGAAAGCTTTGTCTGACATCTTACAACAAAAACATAGTCGAATAATGCGGGATTTCGTACTATCGTTGTATAATTTAAAATATATTGTGAAAAGGTCACTATGCAATCTTTTTTATTTATATATGATAAAGGTGACAAACGGGCACACAGTCCACCTGATATTAAGTAGTTGCTGTGGATAATAAACATCAACATCTATCCTCAACTACGAATCAAAATGCAGATGCGTTGTCACCAGTGAGGACTAAGATGGAATGCAACAATTCCAGTAAAAGGGGTCTTCGGTTCTCTACACTCACTATACGAAACACAGCATCCGGTCGAGCCGACCCATTCATGCTACAACTGTACTACTAACATAGCTGCAGCATAACTCTATCACGTACAAATCTACTTAAATTCAGATGGCACATTTTTTATTATGGGTTTGACAGGGGATAATAACTGTGTTTGGCATCAATCTAACAATGAATTCTTATTTTGTCCCTAATAAGTGTAAAAATATCGTTAAAGTACGGTGTTAAGTTATGAGTAAACCATATAACATAACAACGTCAGATAAAGTCTAATTTTCCGTAAGCATATTAAAGTAGGTATCTATTGATAGGTAACTAGGAATGGACGAACGTGATGTCGTTATCTATCATTTGTATAAAAACAATTCATCTCTACGATGTGAGAACCACATTTTCAATACTGGTTTGTTTAAGAGTTGAGGAATGCAATTCAATAATAATTTGGTCACCTCTCCCTTTGAATCGTTTTATTATTTTTGTAGGTATAAGACATTTGCATTATGTTTGTATTATTACGCTTCACAGGGGCAAGGACGAGTTATGTAAGACTCGTACCGAATATAGCCTCTTTGTGTTCCACTTTTCCACACATTGGTTTGGCCACGGTAATATTTTCGCAGTCGACTGCGGCCTCAACAGTGTTAGTTGCGTGCTGGTGACCTTTCCTCCCTCTCTTTACTTCCTCAAGCAAGGAGCGCCGGAACACAAAACTAGCTCTCCTACACGGCCTCTACCATCAGCTGTGTGCTTCTCCCCTTAGAGTCAGTTACGATGAACGTGGTCAAAATTATTCTTTATATTTATGCAAACACTACAAATTGAACGAAAATAGTTTTGTACTGATTTTATAGCGTTTAATTAACCGAGAAAGAAAAAATGATCTATTCCCAACGTTTCGAGTACCTTGCAGTACCCATAGCTACGGGGGGACTGCGCTTTTACTTCTCATTAGTTTGTGGTGAGGGGCAACGAATTCTTCCACATCTCAATTTCATAGATTTTTAGTTCGATCTACGCAGAAAGAACTTATATTATATTGAAGTCTTGCACTAGTAAGCTTGTGTTAGGATTTAATTTTATTAATTATAGGATTACAAGCAGATGGTAAAACCCAGCCATCTTCTCTATTGATCAATCATTTTATCATATTTGTAATCTATCAAATCTTATATAATACCGGGAGGGATTCTGTACATGCACATAGACTGCAGCCTTTCCGAAGCGTGGATTCTTCACATTAGCTATATGTTCTTTTACGCTGGTGCTATGTGTAAGTGATCACATTTACTGTCAAGCTTGCACACTCCTGCATATTGCAGAGGGATATTATACTTGACGGACGGTAAGAACTGACTAAATTTCTTCAGTGGCTTGAAGTATGTTTTAATGGAAGCTCGCTTCAAGATGTAGCGAATCTTATTTGTGAAACCTTTGTCATAGTAAATATTTGACAAAGTTAATACAGTAGACCACAAACTTGCAGCAGGCACATGTTTAACTATGGCCGATTTCACTCGATCTCTGTGAAGTAGCCACGGGATTCAAAGCTTGTTGTTGTGCAAAATTTTCTTAGTAAAAGTCTGAAAAGTCTGAAAGGTATAGAACCTTTATAATTAAAAACTATTAGACATGCTATCTTAGTGGCATGTCTCACAGTTTTGGAGACTACGTATCTGTAGTCTTCTTTGATTAAGGTTGGTGGCAGGTTTCCGTGAACAGCAGTAGCAGTGTTGTAAGTCTCTTTAAACGAATTTGTATTAAATACAAATGTAAACGTTCCTATGTTCAAAATGTTAAATCTCCGATAGTTTTGCGCTGGTTCCTTTACTGTATCAAGGTAGCAAAGAGAGTCAAACGCACATTTTATGGGTCACAGACACCGATATGGTCTGTGGCTACTTATTAAAGTCTTCTGTTAATATTGGCATATAATAATAATAACAATTTGTTTATTCATTTCATTCATAAATTTATAGATCAATGTTGAGACCTTGTAGTGAGTAAATAAGTACATGTAAGCAAAATGTCTCGCTCTTCTATAACAATTTCATTTTATTAAATATATAACACTCTTAGGAAAAATAATTAATGGAAATAGGAGGAAGAAAATTAATTAAGCTAAATATGGAACCAATAATTGTGTGCGTGTGTGTGTGTGTGTTTGAACGCGTGCGTATCTGTGCGTTTTCTGTGTCTGCTAATTCAATTTAATTAAGTTAATATACTTAAATCTATACATTGCACATCGTAAAATTCTCTGTCTCTTAATAACTGAGAGCCTCAATCCAACTTAATTATAGTAGAAATACATTTTTACATTCATAATAGTTCATAGGGAAAATGCTTAGTTTTATATTTATTTTATTATATTATATAAGAAAATAAATAATTCTATTTATATTTAAAATAAAATATTACATTATTTATAATTATATTATATATAATGAAAAAATGTATCACTACTATAATTAAGTTGGATTGAGAGAGACTCAGTTATGAGGAGACAAAGACCTTTATGATGTACAATGTCTTTAAAGACGTACGGATTGTTTTCTAAAATGACAACTAGCAAATGCGATATTATATCATTGTAAAATATTATACAAAAGTGAAAATCACAGTTTCTTCATTTTAGTGTTCATTGTAATAAAATCGTCCTTTATCAACATGAGTTTTGTTTAAAATATGCATTCTGTTTCGGTATCGTTGTTCCGATTTCGCACTGATTATCGATAAACGAATTAACGAATGATAGCAATATGCAGTTATCCCATCACTATTTCGGTTTGCCGATTGCCGCACACGTGCTGAGATTTTGTGATATTTTTTATTTTCTACTTATTTGCACTTAGCAAAACTTGTAAAGCGCCAGAAATCGTTACTTCTTGAGAAATACTATTAAACAACATAAATCAACGGCATCATATTTGATTAGTGAGTTCATCATTATTTTATTTTGACATGCTGGGGTGGGGCAAATTGACTGTAGAAAAGGATCGCCACGTGTCCTATATTTTATTCTAACTTTAAAATTTATTTGTCTTCTATATGTGCTCTTAATGATTTATCCTAATCATAGTCAATTATTTAATTTTATTTAATACCACACAAACGTTTTATGAACTTTCCGTCTTCATAACTTCATCGATTATTTTTGAGCACCACACATTTGTTATTATTGTGTTGTATATTTTTACAAATATATGTAAAACCGACTAATGATATCTTTGCTTTTGATTCTTGACTATTTATTTTTATCATCGGCCAAAAGCAATGTCTATTTACCTAAATGATTATAATTACCATGTGTATCAGTAACTCCCCAATATTTTAGGAGAAAAATTTGTATAATAGTGTGGTGTCCTAATATACCCTACCAGGTACATTTAATTAAATGTGTAATTAAACCTTTAATCTGTTTGTATTTGTATCTTCTTTTACAGTGAGATAAAATTATTTAATTGGGTATAATATCGCCAGTATATTTATTTATAGTAGAGAATATTTTATTAATATTTCAACTACCTTCTTATTAAGAAATGTAGTGGTTTGTGTATGGTATATGTACAAAACGTCATAAAATAGTAATATGAACATTAACAAAGTTAGTATTATAATAAATTAGGTTTTTAATATATATAGTGATCAAATTTACTTTTTCTTTGCTGGGTCAAGGGAGATAAGATCATGGTCTGATTGATTGTAGAATAACATTGATTGATTTTGTGGCATAGAGGTCAGTGCAGGGCCATTGATTTTATCTAAATTTTAAGTTTGAATCTAAACCAAGTTTAAGAATTATTATTTATAAAAAGAATAAAAAGAAATAAACAGAAGCTAAAATTCTATATCTATGAGACTAATTAATGTGTCATCTTATTAATACTAATATTTTTGTTTAAGTCTAATCTAATTATTGATTAGCCAAGTGATTATATTTAAAATTATACTGGGTTATTTTGTAATAACCGAACAAATTTGCAAAGAAGGTTCAGAATAAGTAATATATGCAAATGGTGAAGAAAACTTAATAAAAAAATATTTCAAACATTATGTACTTTTTATCTTTGAAATTCAAAATGTGTGGTAATGCATTATTTTAACTGATTTTACTGTACACTCACACATTTATGTCGATCAGTAGGCAACAACATTGCTGCCATAAATCACATTCAATTTGGAATAATTTCAAATAAAAGTACAAGCCTTAGTTACTCATATTTTCAAAAACTGCAATAACGGTATATCATTATTTATATATTTGAACTTAAGTTTATAATTTGGTTACTCTTTGAAAAATAGCCCAGTATATATGTATTGGATTTTAAACTAGAAACCAATATTAATAATATCAATTTTTAGGATGTATAGGTCGTTTTCAAAATAAAAATATTTGAAATTACAGATTATATGCACATTTACTAAAAATTACATAGGTTTTTCAATGCAATTGTCTTTATTGTATAACTTTGTCAGGTTATTGCTTAACTACAATGGTCTAAGTTTTTTTTGCAAAAGAAATATTACAGGAGGTAGCTAAAAAAATGTCTATAAATAAATATTTTTATTTCAAATTTTAAAGAGCCATGGCACCTCAGGTGATAAGTGCTCGCTGCATATTTCATAGTATGCAAGCAACCCAGGTTTGATTACCGCCGGCACCAATGAAATTGTTAATTGCAATTTTAAGTGCTGATTTACCACGTGTTTGGCAATTAAGGAAAACATTGTGAAGATGCCTGCTTGTCTGAGGAATAAGATCTTTATTGAGGACTTTTTTTTAGAATAGGGTGACAAACAAGCACACAGTCCATCTGATGGTAAGTGGATGCTGTGGCCCATAGACATCTACAGTTATGCTCTATTAAGAATAAAAGTGCAGATGTGTTGTCACCCCTGTCATTATGTTGCTAAATGTGTATAAAATTTGTTTATAGTTCCTAGTTATAAAGGCATATGGCAATGGTGTCAGAGGCGAAGGTGAATGGTGGAGACATGGAGACCCCTGCGGGTGAGCTCCTGCCAGCACTTGTTGAAAAACCTGCTGGTTTACCACCTGGCAAGTATTCACTTGTTGGATGGGATATGGATACTACTGGACGTAGGCTCATTGATGAAGTGAGTTTTTTTCCTGTTATATATACCTGATTTCTTTTGGATATCTATTTTAATTATATACCCATTTCAGAATTTTTTATCATTCAATTTTCCTTTAAAAATTTAAAAAATTAGCAAGAAATGGTTTATTTACATAACTACTATTTAATCAACCAACCAGTCTAGTAGCTTCAAACTTACAAACAAGTTGTTTAAATAAATAAACTAAACATAATAGAATCATTTTAATTTTATTGTATCACAATGAAATATATATGATAGGATAGTTTTTATCACAATAAATGACCCTCAATATATTTTATTGCGAATTTAAAGTTTTCTTTTATTAGACAAAGGGTTGTGGGAAAGAGCAGAACAATGTCTGCCTGGTCAGCTAGTTGTTATATACATAGTAACTTAAAATTGTCAGTTTTTTGGCTGAAAATGTAGTTGATCCTGAACTTTGTACCTCTTTTTGACTGACATAACATTTTCGGAAATTTAATAGAAAGATACTAAACCAGGCCTCCGTCACTCGCTCAAAGCCCTGCGTTATATGCCTAGCGTTATGCGTATCGCCCACGATACAACCGACATTGGGCTGCCGCACGCCCGCCTGAGCGCTTGCACCGCGCACGGTTCCCGCGCTTACTCGTCGAAATGCCGAAACCACGTAATTATTTTGCAGTGGATGGGTGTCAGTCAAAAAATCATTCTTAAATGATTTTTACAACGCCATAATGAATCGGCCTGGCAGCAGCGTGTTACACATTTTACAAACCATTGATTTTCCTCCGCTTTGCTCCTTTTTTCCTAATGATTATTTATTAAAATTATTTACGCGATTTAAGATATTTTCAACGATAAGATTTAATAACCGAGAAATCAGAGAAGGAAAAAAAATGTATAAATCATTTTATAAAACTCAAACATATTTGATTGACATATAAAAATATGGTTATTTCGCAAGATTCGTTTTATTACAATAATCATCATAGTACAACCCTAGCGCATTCGTGCGATGACGTGCTTGCACGTGAGTCGCACGGCGGTCAACACAACCTCGACTCTTTAAGCGCGTACTTATGGTAACATTTTCGTCTCGCTGCGAACAGCAGATATTATTATTAAAAGTTTGTAGGCTATTATAGCGTAGGTATTTTCGCTTTTGTATGGGAGTGATGTATCTGTTTACTTTAGTAAACTATTTAGTAATCTGCAGTAAACTATTTAGTAATCCGTGACTAAACCCAATTTTATCATGTTAGTATAAGTCATTTCTAAAAGAATGAGTGTGTTCAAATCAGCATTAATTATAGTTTCATTAGTGTTACCACAAACATGGACAATTATTTATTGTAATGGTAGTAAAAATCCAAAATTGGCGTAACACAACAGAGCAATGTCATTAATTTTGGTTTGAATTTGAAGCCAAGCATCAGCAGCTTAACTGTGCCCAGTAAATGGGACATAAAGGCTGTAACATTACATTACACCCAATTTTAATGTTGTTTCTAGATATGTCAGATAGCTGCGTATACGCCTAAGCAATCATACTCGCAATACATAATGCCCTATGGAGACTTGAACCCGGGTGCTCGTCGGCGTCATAATGTCCGAGTTGTAACTGTTGGACGATACCGGATGCTCAAGGACACAAATACTCATAAGGTATGCTTCATAATATATCATGCTTTAGCTTTTATAGAATTCTAATCTATTTATTATATAGACAACAAAACATAAACAATCAAATTAAATTTAAAAAAAGAAACACCTATGTAACAGTTTAGTACCAGATTGTTATCCTAAATATGTTGTAATTTTTGTAGCATCATTTAAGCTGTTTTACTGCACTTTATTCTGAATCTTTGGTAAAAAAATATCCAAGCTGGAGTAAAGTAAAGTAAAGTCGACACATTCTTATCTACATAATATATTAAACTTATTTCTTGTTAAAGATCTTATTTCGTGTTTTTTATCATAATTTCATTAACAGGATTGTGTAATGCCGATACACACGACGCGCGTAGGTATTTTCAAAAATGCTACCTGTTTCATACCAATCGTTCCGTATAGCCGAATCTTGCGATAGAGGGATTTACAAAGCTTGAAGGCAATTGGCTACATTTCCTTTTTGAAATATTGTTTTGGGTGATAACATTTTCACCCCTCTAAAACTTTACAAAATGACACAATTTTGGTCTCATTAGATTTAGTACACATTAATCTAGGTGTGTATGTTTTTCTTTTTTAGTACTTAAGTCAGTTTAGTTTAATAAAAAAATAATAATACACCGGAGGAAGTATTTAAGTCAGAAATATAGATATTTAGATGCTAATAACTTATATCGTGTACAATATTTCTTTAAAAATAAAAACTTCGGACATGGTTTTTCATTATTTCTAAAACATTTCCAAATATTATGAAAATTAGACTATGGTTTACAGGGGAAAAAACATTATTGCTTTTTGTATGAAAATTTACAGCTTCACAGTTCTTTTAATTAGACTTAAGTTCTCTCATTTGTCACCTTATAATCAGTTCACTGTTGCACTTGGGCCTCTCCCAGTGTTGTCAGATTATGATATCTGATGTCACATGATAATTGTGATACAAGATGGTTATGCTGTGATTTCTGAATTCCTATTCTATCTAGTGTTTAGTAAACTCTGGCATTATCCTTTCTAATGAATTCCATAACCTACTGATCATTTACATGACAGATTTTGAACAATATCCCAAAAAAAGAAAATAATAATCTAAGGTAATTGATGTTAGCACATGTTGTATATTGGCAAAATTAAAATCATGTTAGAGTTCTGTATTGATCAAACACAAACAGTATTCACATTTCAATCACTTCCCAAACCAAAAATCTACCCAATAACTAAATTTTTAAATACAAAATATTTTATAGACATGTACTATTACAGATACTAAAAACAAAATCGGAAATATCAGCGCTATCGGATTTTCTAGATTGGCTGGAGAAGGAAAAAGGTGATGGCAGTGTGATTTTAATCTACCATGAACCACGTCGCCTCAGCCCAACCATGTTGCTTGAAGCACTCACTCGGTAAGCATAATAGTATGTTGTCTTTTGAGATGTGATTATGTTTTCCCCTTTTAATTTTTCTTTGTAGATACACAAACCTTTTCACTGAGAAAAATAGATGTAAATTTACTACTGCACTCAATTTATTGGCCGGCTCGAACCGGGGTGGTACCACGACCTCACAGAATACCAGCGTGAAGTAGAGGTTTACCTCTGTGTTTCGCTTGGTGAGTACAGGTGGCCGGAGGCCCTTTCTACTGGAAATGAGGCATTCCATCTTAGTCCTCACGGGTGAAAACGCATCTGCATTTTGATTCGCAAATGAGGATAGATGTAGATGTCTATAGGCCGCAGCAACCACTTACCATCAGGTGGACTGTGTGCTCGTTTGTCACCCTTATCCTATAAAAAAAAATAGAGATATTTCCACAATCTTTCAGAAGCCCTGAGATGTTTTTACTTCCATGAAGGCATGCATTCTTATACCTTATTATGGGTAACTATTCAGGGCATCAAATCCTGTATTTGCAATTATGCAACTAATGAAATGTAATGACAAAAAAATGAGGTGGTTGTCTGAGATGCATTGTCAGACATATTGTAATAATCAAAACACATCTAGCCTGGATTCAACTGTTACATGACTTAATAATGAAATGTGGTATCATATTAGGTACTGAGACTTGTTATCTATATTCTCTATAATTATCATAATTTCCTGTATATTATGTTACAAGTTTTTAAAGAATGACAGTTCCTCCTAGAATAGTTTAGTTTACGACGGACTATTTTCCGCAACTCCACGTCTAAGCGCGTATTTTGCGTGTGGGCAGAAATAGTGTGATTACCCGAGCCATGAAATCTCTCCGAAGAAGTTCAATGGTCCTTTGATGTCGCAAACAACTTCGGGGAGTGGTCTCGACGTGCCAAGATGCTTAGCCCTGTTTGCAGCGACCTACGGACATGTCAGCAACACGTGGGCCGCCGTTTCTTCCTCCCCCATACATGCTCTGCACAGTGGACTATCTGTAACACTTGTGGTAAATCAATGTTTGTTAAAGGAGCCATGTCCTGTGATAGCACTTGTTACTATCCTGTTCTGCGGCTTGTTCAGTCTCATTAGAACTTTGTTTAAACAACTGTTTATTTGAGGCCGGGCATCCCTAGCTTGTCTACAGTCTACTAGATTTTTCCAAAGCTAAGCGTGTTGGTTAGTGAAATTTCTACGTACCAGTGAATGAATGTTACCAGTTCCTCCTAATTTAATAAGTGTTTTTATATATTACAGCTATAAGTTGCTGGACCGCTTCAAGTCAATTGTGGCCGGATTTACGGACAGTTATGCGTTGGCGGCCGACAAATGCAAGTCTACGGTGAAGTCAGTATCCTTACGAGTACTAGCGCGAGTATTGCTTGATGCTGACTCTCTCTCTGTGGATAGTGCACTGGACAGAGCCACAGCTGCTTACCGCATTGTAGAACACCTAGCTCAAGGTTAGTATAATAGCTGTAGAAGTGGAAATTTTTAACAGTTTTAATTATAGAATATATCTTTTTCCTTGGCATATTCCATACTGACCAGCTTCTTGTATTTTGAAACGAGCCTGAAATCACTGACTTTGTACAACTGTTGTGTGCTCACACTTAAATAGGACATCAAGTCAGAATGTGACTGTCCTGTCTCCTTCCTCTTCAGCAGAGATGCCCAACCTGCTTCCAGTGTATATCATTATGTTAAAATAATATTGATCTGTTATGACAAAGGTGAACAACAAGAAGTTGGTGCTGGAGGCGAGGGTACAGCGGCCAGTAAAGACATGGTGGAGACGGCTCGGCTTTGGGCTAGACCTGTCCATACTGAACTAGAAGCACTAGCTAATCTTAAGAAGTTGCTTGAGAGGTTAGTTCTTATATATCTATATCACTTCTCTATTATCATTATTGGTTTTCTAACTTTATAATATAACTTTTAATAAAAAGTAAAAACCGACAAGAAAGCTATTTATTTGCTACCCTTTAAGGTTGGAATTTTTCTCCAAATTTATATGGGACCACCCTTGAAGTATAACCTATTTCATAAAAAAAGATGAGTTGGCTATAGATATCCGGTACTTGGTTTTAATTATGTTTTCAGTTTAGGAGGCTTGTTAGGGCTAAGCATGAACCTTTTACACTGTTTTTGAATGTCGGAAATGCATTTTGAATTAATTACGATAAGAATAAATTTCATTAAAAATTCCGTATAACGAAACGCAAATATGACAATTTTGTATAGTTTTATGACATTAGATGTCAAAAACCGATGAAAAAGTGTGAAACGGGACGGTGTAGACGGCCATGTTTTTGGGCAACCGTAAATGTCAAATATAATATATTATCTATGATGTTAAATGTGAATTGTTATTCCGTTTCTCTAGTGGTCACGCGAATGTTCTCTCTTATGCTTAGTGCTGTGTTTTCCCTGTTTTTTCGACGACTTCTGCTCTGTTTTTGGACTTTTTTGATTGCCCTTATGTTTTTACCACTATCATAGCAGAGTTTAGGGAAACCTGACTAGAGATAAGATAGGTCGAATCTGTACTAAAACTGAATCAGAACACCCCTAATCCACGTAGTCTTGTCTGCGCTACCCCTAGAGTGTTTTTGTAAAGCCGTAGGCGCGGAGGGAGAGCAGCCAACTTCGCAGTTTCGGCATATTGGTCGCCTTCGCGCAACCATCCTCAGCCGCTACGGCTCACTCAGGGGCCTGAAATTTGCTACACAAGGGCGAAGGGGCTGCACTTCCTGCGGGAAGCCGTTGCAGAAGTAACTATGTGTCAATATTCCAGTATATAAAAGTGAGGTTATGATTTTACAAAAAATATTACACATAAACTATACATTTCCGCAAGAGCGGAAGGGTAGGGGGGCTTTCCCTGAACCCACCCCCTCCCCCTCCCACCCCTGTACGTGAATACTGGAATCCAATATTCGCGTACAGGGGTGGAATCCAGTAATCGCGTACTGGAATCCAGTACGCGATTACTGGATTCCACCCCTGGAACTGTATGTCTATAACCAAAAAGATTCATCATCATCGAAAAAATTAATATACACTCGAATTGTGAACCTCCTCTTTTTTGAATATAGACATAGGCTGTATGTAAATGATGGGTAAGAAAATTTTGAAAATTTATTTTGCAATACACAAACTAGATATTGCAAATAAGGGTGGAATGCAGTGAGATTCGAATGCGGGACTTCATCATTCGCACTTACGACGACTAAACTAACGAAGCAGGCAACTTACATGTATAAGTTAAAATATTATATTGTATAATACAGTTGTTTTCACTAGCAACATTATCCTTACAGGCAAAACACGTTCAGACCCGTCTTCGCGCCGTTACTTCGTTCTGCGAAACCGGAACGTAAACGTGTAACACAACTTCGGCGGCTTCTCGCCGACGCCGGACTATTGTATGACCAAATTCGTGACGCGTGGCAGGAACAGAAGCTTACTGGTGAGTGATATATTGCAAACAAACATGACAAACACCCAAAAGTCACTCACACACAACAATGATCAGACCGTTCACATGCATAAGGGGCATTGCAAAAAAACGCGTGCAGTTCACACGCTGTAGAAGTGAAATCTTCACAAAAATAAACATGAGTTGGGAGGCTTAGAAGCACTGCACAAAGAGAAAACAGAGCTAATAGGAAACATTGTATACTGTATTCTATCTCATTCTCTCGAATTCTAAAACATATAGATGTATATGTTTGTTTCTTTTAGTGCTGCATTTTCATTTCATCGAGTTTCAAATCTGAATAATTGTAAAGAAGTTTTCACTTCAATAATAATTAAGAAAAAGAATTACCCGGGAATATACTGCTACTTGCATAAATTAATTTTTATTCTTTGTCATTCTTTTTGAAGTTTGTATCTCATGTCACCCAGTTCAAGAATTAATGACAAAAGTTTTCCATTAACATGCTATATTTTATCTATTTTAGGTTTAGAAAAACAATTACAGGCACTGTCTGTGTCTGCCAAGGAAGAAGACATAAAGGAGCTCATAGAAATTTTTGATTGTCATTTCGATCCTGCCAAAGAACCAAAAGGACCTAAACCAAGAGTTACAAACAGAAATAGAGTGAGTATGTAGCTATAGTGTAACAAAGTTTTATAATACATTTAATAATGCAATTTTAAAAGCCTGCTGTTTTAAACATATTTATGGTAATAAAGGCAAATAAGTAGATATTTCTGTGCCTGCAAACAATGCGCCTGCTTATGCACATGATTAAACAAGTTGGTACCCAAGACTGGATTGGAATTTATACACAGTTTTTCACAGTATTTGAATGAACAAGAAAAGAGAACAATGGCCACTCTTCTAACATGCTTGAAATACACATAAACACATGTCTATATAAATATAACATGACTTTCGATACGTAAAAATCTAAAAGCCGGAAATGTTTACGTGGTAGAGCCATGCTGCAGCTATATTATTGGTATAGTTGCACAAATGGGTCGGCTCGGCCGGGGAAGGACTACGCTCTCACAGAATTCCAGCGTAAAATAGCACCTTAACGCTGCTGTGGCATTCCATCTTAGTCCTCACGGGTGACAACGTATCTGCATCTTGATTCGCAAGCGAGGATACATGTAGATGTCTATGGGCTACAGTAACCACTTACCATCAGGTGGACTGTGTGCTTGTTTGTCAAGCTTATCCTCAGAGACGTAGCATGGACTAATATAGACGTGGGCGAAGTCGAATTAGCGAGGTCCTTTTTCTTTCGTTCCCAAGATCTACCCAATAGATCTTACCCACCAAACATGCTTTGACACGACATACCTACTTATAGCTATTAATTCCTGACAAGTCTCTTATTCTGTCAATTGCAATAAAGGTCGCGGTCTTTGAAGATAGTTACAACGGCCTCGCAGTCGCTTTTTAAGAGGGGGTTCTTGCGAGGCCCTAAACAAACAAATTTGTAAAAATTGTAAAGGTGAAAATTAGTCATCTGTAGTATTCTGGACGCAACATACTTAAAGGAGCCTCACAGCCCCTTTAAGTGCGAGGCCGTGGGCGAGGGCCCACTTCGCCCACGCCTAGCTACGCCACTGCTTATCCTATTAAAATAATGTTCCCAAAAGTGTAAGGCTGCGTTTCCACCTGCAATAAAACTGCCGCAAGAATTGTCTAACAGTCTCTCAGACAGTAGCTTGCAGATGTAAACTATGTAGCAAGCGCACTCGCCACAGTCTCTCAAGCATTTCATGCACACAATACATGTACCCTGACGGGAAGAACGAACACTTCATACGATAAAAACGCCAACATTTTTATAAACGATTTGATTTACAAACTGTCCAGTCCTTGCCTTCTATATGCAGACGACTTGAAAATATACCGCGTGATACAGGACTTTTCTGACTGCGGTAAACTACAAGATGATATAGATTCAATATATGAATGGTGCCGGCTTAACGGTATGCACCTCAATGTTAAAAAATGTTTTGTTATAACGTTCACTAATAAGAGATATAAACAGACTTATGACTATAAAATTAACGAAGATTCATTAGACAGGAAAACGGTAGTTAAAGACCTAGGTGTGCTATTTGACTCTAAATTAACATTCAAATTCAAATTTCAAATTCAAATTCATTTATTTGCATAATACAGGTATAAAAGGTGTTACAGAAAATTATAATATGTACATTGTATTATTACCTTATGAGGTGTGCAAATACAATAAATGTTTTGTCTTAAAGACATACAAATATAATTGAGTGTTCTTTTGAAAAATCATGCCATAAGATAAAATAGAATAGAAATAATTGAAATTGGCATACTAATGAAAATTCTACATTTATAAAATTAAATTGATTACAATAACAAAAAATGATAATATTCAATAAAAATTACTAGTCAAAATTGTCATTCAAGAACTCATCAATTTTATAGTAACATTTGTTTATTAATAAGTCATTCAGCACCTTTTTAAATTTAAATAAGGTCATATTTTTTATTGAATCAGGTAGTTTATTATAAATTTGTGGGGCAATACCAAAGAAGCTTTTTTTCATTAATGATGTTTTACATTTTATGTAACATAACCTATTTATGTAGTGGGTACGTATTGGATTCTTTCTAATATCAGATAATAACATTCCGTGAGCACTATGCGTACATTAAAAACAAAGCATTCCAGTTACTAGGTTTCATAACGAGATGCACTAAGGGCTTCAAACGGCCTCAAAGCTTCCTGACCGTTTATTGTAGTCTTGTTCGTAGCATTCTTGAATATGCTTGTGTCATTTGGTCTCCCTGTTACACGGTCCATTCAGATAGTATAGAAAGCGTCCAAAAAAGAACTCTCAGAATACTTAGCTACAAATGTGGGTTTGCTCGTAATCTAGTTAGTTATAGTGAATTACTCGACAAATTTAAAGTGACCACCTTACTTATTCGCCGTAAGGAATATGACCTTATATATTTTCATAAAATTCTCCATAATAAGATTGATTCCGATTACCTCTTTAAGTAAATTAAACTTAACTACAAAGCGCAATCCCCGAATTCCTAACTGCAGACCTGCAGACTTATAAGAATAATACTTCCTTTTATAACCCGATAGTAACAATGTGTCGACTTTACAACGAGATATCCATGAAAAGCTCCGGCATGGATGTTTTGACCCAAGATCCAGGACATTTAAAAGAGCAGTGAAACAATATACACTTATGCACACTCATTCCCATATCACATAGGTTTTAAGTTTCTTATTTGTATATTTTTATTTTTTGTTTACTATAATTATGTATGTCATAAACATTGCAAAGCGTAGAATTGATCTCCTGTATTTCATATAAAAATGATGTGTCAACATATTTAGGATAACAATCTGGCATAATACTGTTATATTTATATTATATTGTAATGTATTTTGATTGTTATCTGTTTTGTTGTCCATTTAATAAATAAATAAATAAAAATAAATAAGCTTGCGACACTAGCATGCCAGTTTTTGATCCATGATCTAATTTTCGCGCCAGATTGAATGTGTGCGTGTGTATATGTGTATAACACTCATTGTCCACCCTCACCAGGGGCATAGCTACCGTCGTATCAGTCGTATCAATGATACGGGGCCCCCGGGCTACAGAGGCCCGAACCAATGTAAGCAAAAATTCTAAGGACTTCTATGGGACAGGATGTAGGTTTAAATTGTTTGGTTAGCTTAGTTTTTAGGAGTATTAGTTGTAAGTAATAACTTATAATCAATATATAATTATTTTAATTCAATGATGTGATTGTTTTTGTTCCTTTTGTGATAAATCTTTACCCTTTATTTGGGCCCCCCGATAAATTTTGATACAGGGCCCCTCTAAGGCACGCTACTCCACTGACCCTCACATTAACATTCTATATTTTAATCATATATTACTATTTCCATTCCAATTTTCTACGAATGTAGAAATTACATTCTACATTCCTAAAAAATTGGAATGAAAATAGTAATAAATGAAAATAATACCTATTGAAAATTTTAAATATTTAATAGCACAAACCTTAAGAGTAAGATTAAAGTTAACAATTAGCTATGCAATTGATACATAAGTAGAAAATTGGAATGGAACACAGTTAATAGTTTTTCAGAAATAAAACAATTATTTTTATAGAGATTTAAATATATTATTGACAGTAGTAATAACACAGAGATAAACTTGGGCACTCAATTTTAGATGATTATAGAGGCATCTGAACACAGCGTTTTCAGTAATCCATTATTATTCGTTAAACATCTTCATTAAGTAAAACAACTCTAATAAATCACCATAAACTAAATATTTACTGGCTAGTAACACCACACTTAAGTTATTATTCTACGAAATACGAAATAAACTAATACGACATCAAAGTTTTGAATTTGGCTTAGAAAACTTAAACAACTCCATTTAATTTGAAGCAGTCCCTTTTAAAATAATATCTAATTGATGTAAAATGAACTTTGAAACTTTTTCTTTTCTTAATTTTATAAATATGTAATAATCTAGGTTATGTTTTTATTTCATAACAGCCATAGATACATTTATATTTTCGGCTACAGCTACAGAGCTTGTAGCATAGGACTAATCATTTCAATCGGACATAAAAATTATCGGAACGTATTATTTATACTTTATAATACATGGATTAAACAACTTTTATTTGTTATGTATATTATGACAAAGATATTAAAATGCAAAAATAAAAGTTCCTAAACTGTAATTGAAATACAATGCGTAACATGGGCAATAGTGATTTCTCTGTCTAGCGTATAGCGTATATCTCTGTTTCGCTTATTTTGCCCGACGTTTGCATGGGCTCCATATAGACTTGACCCCCCATGATTTCCTGTGAGTAGTTGCGAGTGCAATTGATTGCAAATGTAAACATGTTCACATTGACTTGCGACAGTTATCGATCTAGTTTCGTTTATCTCACAAAAATATACTCTATTTGAAATAAGATTTCGGAGTAATTAATTATTATTGATTTGTTCAGGCGACGTCGTCGGCGGGTGAAACAGGCGAAGCGGAAGGCAGCACTAGTGAGTCACAAAAAAGTTCTCCACAAAATTCACCTAACAAGACGAGCAATGGTAAGTACAAATTATATAGTAAAACTCTTATTCAACATCATTGTGTTGTATAAGTTCTTCGTAGTCCTTATAGTTTGTTTATTTGACGACTCTATCTCTATTGTGTTGTACTTCCGAATACTATCAGAAGCTGTTTTTTTTTTCTGCTTACTGAGTGTTACTCCTCTTAACTTAAATTTGTGTTGGTGTAAAAGTACCAGCCATTGACAGTATTGTCAATGGCTTGTACTTTTACAGCTGCAATGTCTTTGTTAAAATTTAAAAAATACTTTAATAAAAAACTGAAAAGTCAAGATTTCAAAGAAAAAAAAGAATGAAAATTTCCACATAACAATAATAAAATTAAAAACTGTGGTTGCCAACCCGCTTGCCAAGCGTGGCAACTATGGAAAATGTTCCCTTTTTTGCACACCTGCGTGCAGACTGTACGTCACCCAGTTTTCCGTAATACATAAATTGTATTATATTTTTCAATAAAAAATTGTAATATGTTTCAGATGTAGCAGCAGAGGATACTAGTCAAACGGTAGCGGCTCCCGAAGCAGTTGCAGCAGCCAACTAACGACCATCGCCTACCATCAGTTAGAATTTTCTACAACATTACTGTCATTTAGTATTGTAACAGCGCCATAGGGATGTGACAAAACATTTATTCGTATTATACATTTAGGTTTAAGTCTTTGGAATTGAAAGATATTTGTTTTGCATGCATTGGTGAACGAGTTTACACATTTACATATTTTTTGTTAACCAACTCCCTCCCATTGTTCATTTTGCTTTACGCATAATACATTTATAATATATACATAAATAGATGATAATTGTAGATGAGTGCCTTAGCGACTCAGTATAATGAGATATAACTTTTGTATGCCCACATTTTTGTGTCTGTCGGAGCCGTAAATATAACGCTGTTGTGTATAGGAGAGTTAAATTTGTCGATTTTTTTCAATCGGCGCACTTTATACGGTTACGTCAATCAGTGTTGAGATGAATTATTGTTTGTGATTTATGGGACGTTGCATAGGTTCTTACTATTTTTAATACCCAACTTGTATGGCATAATATTTATTTTTATTTTAAAAGTTCTTATTAAGAGGATATAAGAGTACAATATAGTACTACGTTTTATTTATTGCAAAGATACTTTATTTATTTTGTTTAATGTGTGCAATCACATTGGAACGGATGGACTGATTTTTACATCCGATATTTTTTTACATTCTATTTATTTGTTTATTTTTTCACATGCATTGTTACTAGGCTGGATTACGCATATTTCGCTTTACTAAAGTGCTTTGGTCGCATATCATTTTACTTTTGCCATAGATGAACTTCTTAATGGTTAAGTTTTCATACCATACAATAAGCTATGTAATAAAAACAGTGTGTACCTATTAACTTTTTAGTTAGTTTTAACATAGACTGTACATATTATTTAATTTTCTTATTTTGTTCAGATCTCTAATAAATATGTAAGAGTCTATAATTTGTTTTTTTTTTATCCTCCTGTTACACGTTCATGTTCGCAGATATGTTTGGAGATCGGACTTTAAACTGAAATATATTAAAGATATATTCTTTCAAATTTTAAGAAATGGAAGGGACTGTTATCGAAACTATTAATAGTTTATCTTTATGAGCCCGTAAAAATCCAGTGCTGGACATGGGCCTCTGCCGTTTAATAGAGCATTAATCTTAATTTAAATCATCAGTCGTCGACATGTTTGAAATATCCTGCATTAGGAGAGTCTACTTCTATTGAAACTACTTGTCAAAAATGTAAAAAATATATCAGGTTATAAATTACAAAAGATTGTATGATGTCTCAATAGCGTTTAATGGTATTGTAAGTATAACAGCATATAAATTACGAAGATGATTAATTAGATTTTATTAGACTTTTTTTGTAACTCAATTTACATTTTACAATGCGTCCTGCTATTCGCTCGTGGAATAATGGTTACGTCATTAATTGAAATAATATGTTATTTTTAATTCAATTTATCGTGTACGTATACCAACATGGGCCATCGTTGTCTGTCAAACTGAAGTCCATGCGGTCCTGCGCACTATTGGAAAACCGGGTGTGTTTCGTCTCAAAACTTCATATTTCAGTTGTTTCAAAATGAATTAAGCTGTAATTTTACATACGTATACCTTATCCAAGTATAGTGTCTTTATTGGAAATGAATATTTTGAGTTAAAAATAAAAATTTGACCAAAATAAATATCAAATTCAAGACATTTTTTTTTACCACAGTTAAATTAGGTCTTGAGAACGATTTCAATAAATTTATGAATACACCGTCATCCATGCTATTTTATAAAGAAGTAAGTTTTTGAAAAAATTGATTTTTATGTCGCGATGTGTTTTGGTTGCAAATAAATGCAAATTTTTTATTATCCTTAAACAGAGTAATGTGTGAAGATCATCCAATAAAATACCTCGATATCGGCAAGCATCGGTAAGAGATAAACATCTTGTTAAAAAAAGTGTAAAAATATAATATATTAAACTATATTGGTTATTTTTTGTTTAATTAACTAATATAATATTATTTAGAAATAATTTGGAGAAGCATATAATCATTCCAAAAATGTATAATACTTATACACTTATATGGAAAACTTTCAAGTAATTTGGCATTGAATCGTAATAACGTATTTCGTCAAAATCATCTAATCGAACATGACTAAGATTTGATGCTCTTTTATACTTATTTATAATAGTATATTAATGTATAATTTTCATCACGTAACGACTTTAGTTAAAAACAGTTATGCTATGTATGGGGCTTTCCCATAGTGCTGCGTGCGTACAATAAAACTAGTTGTAGCCGCACTGCTCACTAGTTTTATTAAAAAAAAGTATAAAAACCACTGGGAATGAGGCTCGCGACTAATACTGCTCGGGGCAAGCGGAGCAAGACCAAGACCAAGGCGACCCCTGTCACGCTATCCGTGAATTTTTGCAACATCAGGGGACGTCATTCCAACCTTAACGCTGTCCATTACCATCTAGAGACGGCGAAGCTGTCCTTGCTCTTTTTAAACGAGACTCAGGTGTCCTCTCCGGCTGACACTTCATATCTCTCCTACCCGGGGTACAAATTAGAACACTCCTTTGTGCCCCGGGCTGGAGTTTGCGTATACGTCAGAGAGGACATCTGTTTTCGACGCCTCGCCAGTCTTGAAGGTACGGATCTGCAACGCCGTCTTAGGCCATACCGGGGCCCTTGGGCACACAAGAATTTGGGGCCCTGTTGGAAATTAAAAAAAGTGAATGACAAAAACATTTTTCTGCTATATGATCTTATATTTATTATAGTTAATTGGTATTAATTACTTAAGTATGTTGATGTTTTGAATTGGTTACCATTACGACAGAGGTTTCTTTCGGGATTTCTGTTGTGCAAAATCTTCTATTATATCTTCAAAGTCTACTTTTTGAAGGATATCACTCTATATACACATAATTATTGACTAATTTGTTAGTCGTTCTTGTAACATAGTTGTTCGCAATACATTTTTTATTCTCTTTAGGTGGGAATATTTTTTTTTATAGGAGAGGGGGCGAACGAGCATGCGGCTCACCTGATGGTAAGTGACTACCGCCGCCCATGAACAACTGCAACACCAGGGAAGGAATTGCAGATGCGTTGCTGGCCTTTCAAAAAGGAGTACGCTCTTTTCTTGAAGGTCCCTAAGTCGTATCGGTCCGTAAAAATCGCTGATGGTAATCGATTCCACAAGGAAGTCGTGCGAGGAAGGAAACATCTTCTAAATCGTCCAGTGGTGGACCGCCAATCATCCAGATGGTGTGGATAGTATCGGGAGTTCTGCCGCGATGTGCGTTCGTGAAATTTGGCGGCTGGGATTAATCCGAACAATTCCTCAGAGCACTCCCCATGGTAGATGCGAAGGAAAATGCAAAGGGATGCAACATCTCTTCGCAGTGCCAATGAATCGAGCCGATCGGAAAGGGCTCGGTCGTCGACGATTCGAGCCGCTCTGCGCTGGATGCGGTCAAGTGGAAGGAGCTGGCACTGGGGAGCCCCTGCCCAGAGATGGGAACAGTATTGTGAGGCCGAACCTGCGCCTTGTAAAGTTGCAGGCGGTGTGCCGGCATGAAATACTGTCCCGCTCTGCTGAGCACGCCAAGCTTTTTAGAGGCCAATTTGGCCTTCTCTTCCAAGTGACCACGAAACTGCACGTCACTCGATATATCGACTCCGAGAATACCGATACTGGCTGAGGCAAGAAGGGGAGTGCCTTGAAACTGAGGAGATACGACAAAGGGGTTCTTTTTAGCGGTAAACGCGCAAACTTGTGTCTTCTGAGGATTAAACTGGACTAGATTTAGTCGCCCCCAATTCGAGGCTTTGTTCAGCAAAGACTCGACTTCAGACACAGGTTTGTTCCGGTACTCGGCGACGTTTTCCCGAGAAATATTGGCACGGCCGGTGTATAGCGCATCACCAGTGCTGTCATCCGCATAGCAATGAATGTTACCAGTTAGCAACATATCATTGATATGCAGAAGAAACAGCGTTGGTGATAGCACACAGCCTTGTGGAACACCAGCGTTAATAGGCTTGTAGTCAGAACATGCACCGTCTACAACGACCTTGATGCTCCGATCTGCAAGGAAGCTGGTGATCCAATTGCACAATTTCTCGGGAAGCCGATAGGAAGGGAGCTTCGAAAGAAGCGCTTTGTGCCAAACCCGATCGAAGGCCTTCGCAATGTCCAGACTAACGGCCAACGCCTCCCCCTTGGACTCTACTGCCTCCGCCCATCTATGGGTCAGGTAGACCAGAAGATCACCAGCTGATCGACCCCGAGGAAAACCGTATTGGCGGTCACTAATCAGCTGGTGATCCTCAAGGTACCGGATGAGCTGGCAGTTAATAATGGATTCCATTATTTTGGAGAACAAGGAGGTGATCGCGATAGGCCTATAGTTGGACAGGTCTGAGCGGTCGCCTTTTTTAGGGATCGGGTGGACAAAAGCTGTCTTCCATGAATTCGGGACTACGCCTTGGGAGTAGGAGTACCGGAAAAGACGCGTTAGGACCGGTGCCAACTCCGGAGCACACGTCCTCAGCACAATTGGGGGGATTCCGTCAGGCCCACTCGACTTCTGGATGTCCAGGGAGAGAAGTGCTTTGCGAACCGAGCGCTGCGAAAACAGCACATCCGGCATGGAGCACTCAAACCGCGGGATGGTCGGCGGTGTTTTCCCCCCGTCATCAAGAGTCGAGTTGGACGCAAAAAGGGAGCCTAAAAGGTCAGCTTTGTCTTTTGCGTCTTGGGCCAGTGAGTCATCCTCCCTGTGCAGAGATGGTAGTGATGGCTTACAGAAATTCCCTTGGGCAGCCTTGGCGAGAGACCAGAATGCACGGGTTCCCGAAGGAAGGCAAACTAGTTTCTCGCCAATTCTGCCTATGTGCTCTGACTTTGCCTTGGTAATAACTCTTTTGAAGGACCTGGAGGCGAAGTTATACTTCTTTTTAAGTGTGCTGGTGTTTACATCCCGAGTCGCCGAAGCCACAGCCCAGGCTTGATAACACTCCTCCTTACTGCGTAATGCAGTCTTACAGAAGCGACCAAACCAAGGCTGAGATCTGCCTCCGATGGGTACCACAGATGATGGAATAAATAGTTCCATTCCCTGTAGCACCACATCAGTGACAGAGTCAGCAACAGCGCTGGGATCATCCGGCGAGAAGCAAACCCGCCCCCATGGGTAGGATGCAAAGAAAGACCGCATTCCGTCCCAATCCGCCGACCTGTAATGCCAAACACGGCGGCAACCTGCAGAACGCAACCGCGAAGGGAGCGTGAGTGGCACCACACTCCGGATCAGACAATGTTCCGAAGAGCCGAGAGGGGCATCGACGGAAACCTGATATAAATGCTTTTACAATTACTTCGCAAATATCCGCGTTATAAAATAAAATGATGTGTCTTACCTAGTATGAAGAAGCACCTCCCTCAATTGCGTGCACTATCCCCGTCACCACTAATCCCAGCACCGCTACTTCCAACACCACTACACTAGGCAAGACACACCACTGACGATAATACGACACGTGTTTCGCCTCTACACGAGGCATCCTCAGGTGATATAGACTCTATGGTGGCTAACCTCTAAGTGAGCGGCGAGCCAAAACAAGTGCCTTTTATACAAACCGATGATGCAACCGCTCTCTACCTAACGAGCGAGCGATTGCGTCATGCGATAAAACATGCGACCAATCACCGCTGGACTTACGCAGCCGTTTGTAAAATTAAAAACAAACCGCCGCGCAACGCCCACATTATTAGAGAGCAGGCTTGAAGATATTTAAGAGAGGTGAGTTAGTAACATTTGTTTGTTCATTCAGCAATGCAACGGTATTATTATTACTTTTTAATATCTCTAACTGTTCCAGCACACATAGCCGCAGCCCTTTATTACACGTATGTAAGACTTTAAAGG